TCACATCTTATAATAATTTCGAAAATTGAAACAAAACATCAGCCCCCCTTCTGTCCGCCAGTGCTTCCAGGAATGCTATGTTATAGGTAGCTCCTTGGGGCATTTTCTCAGATTGCAAGTCAAATAACCCGAAGAACGAGTCTTTCTACTCTAAATGGCTTCTTATATTTTTAGTAATGCAAGGCGTGAACTGCCATACGGAAGGTTTACAAGAAATTAGATAGATGCAAAATGGATTTATCAATATAGAGAGGAAAAAAGGAGAGGGATCAGCATGAATTGACCTAAGAACCACGCATACTATTAAAAAGGTACTGGCCAATTTAGGCTGAAATAACCAACTTTTACATTTTTAAGGCAATTGGAAAGTCTCATGGTGTATAATAATCTTGAAATTCCTTTTTTTTTTTTTTTGATCCAAAGGAAGTCGACATCAAAAAAGTTCAGCATGTGCATGTGAAAAGATGCAGCAGGATCCCTAGTTCAAAAGGTTCTATCAAAGCTACAAGCGTAGCACCTACAAATGCAAAAATCAACCTTCCTTCAGGCACTACCGCTTTCAGTTTTAACAGAAAGACATGCTTATGAGCAAACATTGGATTGGGTATGTTGTCAAGAAACTGAGAACCTCTTATGAACCTTAACAAGATATTCCCACTTCATGTTATATATCACCTCATAATTACTGCGAAAACATTTTATCTTTTATTTATTAATAATATATCTGTAATTCTCCATTTTACCAAACATTTAGGCAACCTGAGTAGATTAACTCACAGGTTGGACAAGTTAAAATGTAGTTTTCTCTTTCCCCATATGGTAGCAAATTGTCTGCTGCTTCCACAAATCTTTCTCAAGATGTCCTTCATAAAAGATGACTATTCACGAAAATATGTTTCGAATAAGACCACCGCAAGTGTACGGTTCGTTGACAAGTAATAAAGTGGAAATCCTAAAATTTCGAGTATCGTTCCCACGATGATTGATTTAACTTGAATTCTATTATTGCAACCTTAACCCAATCTATAAAACTCAATATGATTGTTTTTTGTGATTTTATGATGAAACTATAACTAATATGTAAATTAAACTAAAATTTCGATTTAAATGCA